TCTAGGATCCGGGATCTAGAATCTGGGATCTGCTCACTTAGGCTGAGCTTTTGTCTTCTCGAACTTACTTATCTAGGCCGAGATCTTGCCTTCTAGGATCCAGGATCCGAGATTTGGAATCTGAGATCTGCTTACTTAGGCTGAGCTCTTGTCTTCTCGGATTTGAAATCTGGGATCTGCTTATTTAGGCTGAGCTCTTGTCTTTTCAGACCTACTCATCTAGGCCGAGATCTTGTCTTCTGGGATCTAGGATCCGGAATCTTGAATTCGGGATCTGCTCACTTAGGCTGAACTCTTGTCTTCTCGGACCTACTCATCTAGGCCGAGATCTTGTTTTCTAAGATCTGGGATCTGAGATCCAAAATCCAAGATCTGCTCACTTAGGTTGAGCTCTTGTCTTCTTGGATCTAATCATCTAGGAATAGATCTTGTCTTCTAGGATCTGGGATCTGGGATCTGGAATCCAGGATCTGTTTGCTTAAGCTAAGCTCTTGTCTTCTCAAACCTAATCATCTAGGCCGAGATCTTATCTTCTAGAATCTGGGATCCGGGATTCGAGATATGGAATTCGGGATATGCTCACTTAGGCTGAGCTCTTGTCTTCTCAGACCTAATCATCTAGGCCTAGATCTTGTCTTCTAAGATCTGGGATCCGGAATCTGCTCACTTAGGCTGAGCTCTTGTCGTCTCGGACTGACCTACTCATCTAGGCCGAGATCTTGTCTTCTGGGATCTGGAATTCGGGATCTGGTCATTTAGGCTGAGCTCTTGTCTTCTCAGACCTACTTATCTAGGCCGAGATCTTATCTTCTAGGATCTGGGATTCGAGATCTAGAATCCGGGATCTGCTCACTTAGGCTGAGTTCTTGTCTTCTCAGACCTAATCATCTAGGCCGAGATTTTATCTTCTGGGATCTAGGATCCGGGATCTGGAATCCAGAATCTGTTCACTTAGGCTGAGCTCTTGTTTTCTCGGACCTACTCATCTAGGCCAAGATTTTGTCTTCTAGGGTCTGGGATTTGAGATCTGGAATCCGAGATCTGCTCACTTAGGCTGAGCTCTCGTCTTCTCGGACCAAATCATCTAGGCCGAGATCTTGTCTTCTGGGATCCGGGATCCAGGATCCAGGATCTGGAATCCGAGATCTGCTCACTTAGGCTGAGCTCTTTGTCTTCTCAAACCTACTCATCTAGACCGAAATCTTGTCTTCTAGGCTCTGGGATTCGAGATCTGGAGTCTGGGATCTGCTCATTTAGGCTGAGCTCTTGTCTACTTGAAGGTCGTCTTCATCTCCTCGGGAGCGCTCGTGCCCCTTATCTTTGCATTCATCCCTTCTGGAAGGGCCTTCATTCTGTCAATGTTGATGCATTCTCTATCTTCGCTAAACTCGTCGTTGCCAAAACGTTGATCTTGTACGATAATGGCCATTTATTCTAACTAAGTTCTCATAGACGGCGCCAAATTGTGGGTGTTGATTTCCGACCACACAACCAAACGGGAAACTCAGCTAGAGAGCACCGACAGAATAGATTAAACCCGAACACCTGACAACAAGAATATGAGAATACCACGGTGGTTCGTCCGCCCAGGAGCACTCCGACGATCAAGTCAGTAATCTTATCTCTCACAGATATCAATACAAGTACTTAAACTTCAACAATGAAAGCATAAAAGCATCTCAAATAAAGTATACCTTAGACTCATGAGGGTGCCTTACTTTTATAATGATCAGTGTCCAACTTTCCCTAGAAATCTTACTTCATGGGACTCTGTCCTTTACAAGGATTACATTTATCACAACTCACACTATTCAAATTAAGATGAACTCCCTCAAGAGTCCTATCTTTATCCAAATAGGTAGCTTGATGTCATTTGGGACTCTAGTCCTCTATCCAAATATCTCGAATTCTAATATTATCGCACCATATCTCAACACCATAGTCCGCCCACGTGGCACCTCGGCCACTTGGACTACCTAAAATATGTCCCCACAGCATGTAACTAGTGTATCACGGACAATGTAAAAAAATCATATATTTAAGTCTTAATATAAATTATATAATGGCAAGATAAATCAAATTTTTACAAAATTTGAGTAAAAATTTCATATAATAGTGATATCACGTCATTATTGACATATGATGTTACAAACCAATAATAAAACAACATATGAATGGTAAACTCTACATGCAAATATAATTAATACTCTAGTAATTTTTACATATATATAGTGAGATTAATTATATTTACATATCAATAATGATGAATATTACTTTTATATTGAGATTTTTTCACAAAATTTTCATACATAAAAATATAATTTGTTATGGTCACTTTATTTTCAATAAAACAATTATTATTATTTTTATAAATTTAAAAATACCTTTGACATTTTATTTTAAATATTATTTTTATTTAAAGTTTTATTATATACATATGTAAAAAAAGTTTTATTATATACACAAACCCCCCCCCCCCGGTGGCTCCATCACCGCTAAGGACCACATAAGAAATTTTACTTTATGAAGAACAGCTATTTTCTATTTTTTTTTAATTAAAGCTTATTTTGGGAACAGCGTTATTTTTTAAATAATAAAAAAAATAAAACAAAACAAATAAAACAATTTTTAACTTAATTTCTGAAACAAACCTAAATGAAAACAGAAAGAACATAAGGTAAACCCATCTAAATATTTTAGAATATTATTTTTGTAAGCATCCCTGGTATTTTTCATAGAATTAATAGAAACGTTCTCCTGTTTTGAGTCCACAATTTTTTTTGAACTAATTTTGAGTCCAAGATTGAAACACACTTTTTTGTTTTGTTTTTGAAATTCAAAATTCACAAATTTTTATTTAAATCCCGATCGAATTTTTTTTTTTTTTTTTTCCTTTCATTACCAAATCATGTCGCCAAATAAAAATTCAACAATTTATTGGACTAGAGTTTTTCTCATCACAATTTCTAGCTCTCATTGTTACATAAAATACATACATTAACGTTGTAATTGATTGAAATTTAAAAAGGAATTTAAAAAAGAAAATTAAAAATATATATATAACTAAATGAAATTTCCCTTATTACTCATATTTATTACTAAATACAAAATTCTCTGGATATTCAAATGGCACTATGGGATTGATGATAACATCATCATTCGTAGGGGTGAGCATGGTCCGGATTGGACCGGATTGGGATAAAACCAGGACCAATCCGTTATCTACGGTTCCTGAAAAATCGGAACCAATCCGATCCGTTTAAATCTTGGAACCAATCCGAACCAATCCATTTCAACACGGATTGGATCGGTTTAGGACCACGGATTCACATAATTAAATAACAAAAATATATATATATATATATATAATACTTTAATTTTATAAAAATATAAACATAGCGCTATATTAGTTCTACAATAGCAACATGTTTTTTTATAAGGCAAGTCCAAAGGTAAAGCCCAATCATCCAAAGAAGACATGATCCAGTTAGCCCATCGACTTTTGGATCAAGCTAAAACCCAATCCACCAGTTCAGAAGACGGTTCAGATCAGATCCATTCCTCTGAAGAATCAACTAATCAGTATTCAGGACCCGAGTTTCAAGATGCTCAGGATCCATTTGTCTAATCAACATTGGATTCCATATAGATACAAATTAGCTTCAATCAATACTCTTTTGAGAAAAGCTGCCAATTTGTATTTATATTGATTCCATTATTCACATGTTCCACCGAAAGTGATGAATAGTAAAAGTTACTGTTCACTTTTACTGTTCACCGTCACTATTCACCCAATCAACTTTTGCTAAAGGCTGTTCAGCTGTGCAATCACCCCACCGAAAGCATCCGACAGCATCTCCTTTACTTCATGGTCTGCCAGCTGCTTTCAGAAGTCACATGCTCACTGTTCTACTTTTTATTTATATATATTGTAATCAATTGTAAGCATTCAGGCATTCATCAATTTTCTTCCCCTTCATTGTTGTAAGAAAACCCAGAGTGTGCTGAGTGCTCTTCCTATTTTTCCCTTTGTACCGAGTTAAGATCCTTGCAGTTGCTACAATTGTAATTGTAAGTTATGTTTTAATTTAAATATTTTAAATCAAATGTTTTAAATTAAATGTTTTAATTATAATATGTGCAGTGCAATAATTTAAATATTTTAAATCAAATGTTTTAAATTAAATGTTTTAATTATAATATGTGCAGTGCAATGTGTTTTATTTTGATTTCGTAATTCATCTCCTTCATATAGAATCATATATATGCTATATATGCTGCTTCCGCCTTTTGGTATCAGAGCCAAGTGATGTTGTATCCTGTTTCTATATATATATATATATTTTAGCCTCTGTTTGAAAAGTGGGTTGATTTTTTAATTTTTTTAGCTATTTTAACCTGAGGTAAAAAGCTTAATTTGAGAATGACTTTTTAACTTTTTAATTTTTTTGACTTTTTTTGTGAGAGAAGAGTGTAATGATTATGGGTTAAATGTGATGTATTATTTGTTATGACTAAAATAGCCTATTTTATTTTTTGTGACTATTTTAACCCCAAAACCACTTGCCAAACGTCACCTTATTCACATTTCACCTATCTTTTTTTTTTTTTCTTTTCAAATATCTTTTAAAATCCCCCAATCAAATATAACCCAAAAACAGTAGTACAAATTTAGCAAATCATCAAACTAAACCATATGTTAAGCCCGATAGGCTGAACTCGGAAAGGAAGTCCAATCCATTTTTGAAGGGTTGGGGACAACGTTCCACAACTCGCTTCAAGTCTAATAACATCACCGACTTTGGGTAGGATCCATTTTTTTTTGTGTGTGAAACTGACAAAATACTGACCCACTTATTTTATTTAGAGCATACAAAACAAATAAATTTATTGGGGGTCAAAATTCAACCAGGATTCAAGGTGCCTTCATCCCCAGAACGGCATGAAATTTCCTCAATAAAATTTGTTCAAATGCATTTTCAATCATAAAATCAAAATCATACCCAAAAGATTCCTATATTTGAATATTCTCATCACTGTGCACGGGTCTACATACAGTTACATTTTCATTAAATACTATTTTATTTTATATTTTTGGTGGACATAATGGAGCTATTACTACACCACATAAACAAAATGTCTTTGCCAATTAAGGCAGCAGAACAATAATAAAAGAAGACCCAACTGCCTCTGGTCTCATGCTTACCTCCACTCCGCAAGGACATTTATATTACATTAATTATATCTTAACCAAATTTTAATCTGCAAAATATCAAACCAAACAAAAGACCTTATGCCCCTGTAAATTGTACACCACCCTACCCAAGACCTACAAGCAGTTTTCCTTTCTCTGAGAACTTTCTCATCCCTTGTCATGAGCTTCTTCCCATGTCTTTTCCGGTGAATTCTCCTCCACCATATGATGCTGCCGCTGCTGCTGCGGCAACATCAAAGCCACCACCAATTGAGGTCATCAGAGCCGATAAGCCGCTAGTTGGGACACCACCGGCAGCCATCCCCAGCCCAAGAAGATCAAGGGTTGCCTGCTTGGGACCAAACACAGATGGGGTCCCCATCATCAATTCCTTCAGACCAGAACCCCCATCACACGGAAGCCCAAGTCCAAGCCCTGCTACCAGAGATCCACTCTCTGGCGGCTCAATTTGCCTCCGATCCAACTCCTGTTGCTGCCCAGATGAAGATGTCGATGAAACAATCCCAAATCCCCGAAGCAATGATGCATTGGTCGCAGCTGCTCCCATCTGAGCAGCTTTCTGTAGCAATGCTGTAGCAGAAAGTGCTGGCTGGGGTGGCGGAGCATACTGCCTACGCTCTTGCCCTGCAGTGCCGAAAATTGACGACCCGTGATTGGTGGCGAGACACAGAGAAATGGGTTCTGTGAATGAAGATGGTGTGAGATCAGGTGCATGTTCAGGACGAGCCATGGCTCGGATTAGGTCGGTAAATCCGATAGTTGGAGGCTGTAAACTAGCTGAAGCTGTTGAAGATGCAAACAAACTAGCAAATACACCACTGCTTGTACTTCCATTGCTACTTGAGCTGCTAGTACTGCTACAGCTTCCGGTTAAGCCAGTTGTTACCGGTGCATCATCTAAGATCTGGGTGGGATTGGGATTTTCCGGCAACTCTGTATCTGTAATAATAGAAACAATAGGATTATATTTGAAGAAAGAAAGAAAAAGAAAAGGATCACCTACCAATCTACAGAGTAAAGAGATCTACATAGAAAGTTAAGAGAAAGAAAGTTAGGCTTTTCACATTAAAGAACTATATTTGAAGTAAAGGAAGAATCAATAATGGTCTCCTTTCTCAACATCCACTTCTCTTTTTTTTAGCTTTTGAATCACTTAAGTGTTATTGTCTTCTCTTTATCCAAGATTGCATACAAATACCATGAATCTGCTTTATTTCTTATTACTTTCTAGTTCATGCCTCTCAAAATCTCAGATCAGTCTTATGATGGATATATGCAGAAGAGAACAAAGATTGGTAAAGGACAAAAAAACAACTAAACTCCAAGATCCAAATAAATAACCAACAGAGAATTTTTTGTTGCTTTTGTTTTTAACTAAAACGAATCCGACAAAATCCAAACTAAAAATTGCAAATTCATCAATACCTGGATTTTGAATGGGTAAAACAGAGGACATCACAGTCGATGACGGAGGCAGAGCTGGTGGTGGCGGCGGCGATGAAGCAACAGACTGTAGTTTTGGGTCCTCATCTGTGCTTGCAGCTGCCACTACTACTGTCTTGGCTTTAGCACTCTCCTCTGCTAACGCATCACAGAAGGCTCTGTGCGTGATAAAGCTATCTCTCCTTCAAACAACCAAAATGAAACCAATTTCAGAAACCCATAACACTGAAAACAGAGGATTAAAAAACAGAGAATTTAAAGGAGATGAATAGATAAACAACCTTGAAAACGGAGTCCCACAATCGCATTTGTACTCTCTGGTTCCACAGACCTTCAAGTGAGCTTTCCAATCGGACTGAACCGCGTATTTCTTCGAGCACTTCTCGCATTTCCACTTCTTCTCGCCGTGCTTTCTGCAGAAGTGCTTCTTTATCCCAGTGAGGTCGCCCAATGCTCGCGAAGGGTCGTGATGAACACAAGACGGCTCGGGACATACATAGACTCTTTTGCGAACCTCTTTGCTTGATCTCTGCCGGAGCTTCCATGGAAGGTTGTGTCCCCTCCGATGGAGCTGCAAATTCTGGTCACGCTGAAACCCTTTGTTGCAGATTTCGCAAATGAATCGATTTGTCGCCATTAGAGTCTTTGGGGACAGAGCAATCACCTCTGCATTTGGATCTGAAAAAGAAATAAAAATGACACAATTTCAATTCAACGTGACTATATGAACCACCATTCGATTGGAGATTTTGAAGGGTTAGCTTGGTGATTTTACCTGGCATTCCGGGGAGATTTCTCTTCTTCTTTTCTTTTTCTGGTGGTGGGTTTGGAAGAACTATTTGATTCCCTGATGAAGAGACGCTAGCTTCGCCGGAAGCGGTGGAATCATTCATGGCGGACGAGTTATCTAAGTCGACCGGCATGGGAATCGAATTTGTTTATCTAGGGCTTTTACTGGGTAGTCAAAAAAAGGGAAATCTAGGACATTTTTCTAGGGTTTCGACTCGAATCTCCTTCTATCTACCAGTCAATTTTGCTTTTTCTTCATCACTAACTACCAGCTATTAACAAGTTCAGACGCAAACCCAGATCAACAAAAAAGCTAATTAACAAAACCCAAGAATCAAAATCAACTATTAGCTCGGAAAAAGATGGAAGACCCAGAAAAACAAGGGCTGGCGGAAAACTGACCACGGGCGAAGCAGTACCAACCAACGCTCAAATTGAATGAAATCGAACCAAGAATGAGGACCTTCGCCTAAATTCGTGAGCTTTATGAAAAGTCAGACCCCTGAAATCCAACTCCTCTGCTCTGTTCAGCTCCCAGTCGACAACGACCCTCCCATGAAATCCGATATTCGGACAAGAAAATCAGAGAAACAAACCGATTAAAGCGCCGCAAAGAAGAAGAAGAAGAAGAAGAAGAAGGAGAAGGAGGGTTCCGCAACTCCACGACGACGACAAAATTTGGGGAATATAGAGAGAGAGTTCGAAGGGATGAGAGAGAGATTGCAAAAGTCTTCCGAGTTGGGTCGTCTTCACCTTTCTGGTTTACTTTTCAGAGGAAAAAAATCATAATTAATTAAAATTTGTATAAAAATAAAATAATAGAAAAAATTTGTATAAAAGTAAAATAAAATAAAATAATAGATGGAAAAAGAAGTAAATAAAGATGTGTTTGAGATATAACTATGGTTAGTTTTTTGAACCAGTGGGGTTAACCAGGGTTACTGATATGGAATGATATTAAGGGGGCACTTGGCTTGGGAGGGAGGGAGTTGAGGAGCCAAGTGTGTGGGTTCGTTTGGGGCGGTCCGATTGTGACTCGGATTTATTGGTAGGTGGTCTTTGTCGTTTAGTGAAGCCTGTTCTAAGTGATTAATTTATTTAGAGTATTCGGATCAGTGTCGACAAATTTTGAATTAAATTATAACTTAAAATTTATTTTTGTTATTATAATTAGTTATTTTTTTAGTACTCACTGTATCAAATATTCTATTCGAATTCAATTTTATTAAAATATTAATTTCCTATTGTATTTGTTAGTTTTTATTTGTTATTTTATTAAATTGATGAGATACCATCCAAATAATTTTTTTTAAAAAAAAAAAATTTGTCGTTGACCGGCCGGTCGACCGGTTAGGCTAATTTTGGGCATTTTTCTTCTTCTACTACAGGCACTCACGAGATATCCGAGTGGACAATCAGTTTAAAGATTTTTGGCCTAGTTTTGCTCCAAAAAATATAATAAAAAATTATGTAACTAATGAACAGTGGCTTAACAAAATTGTTGAAGTACTGTGACAAATTTAACAAAAAATTAATTTATAAAAAAAATATTGAGACTGATGGAGAACAATTTGATGTTGATGCTTGTAGAAAATTTGATGCGGATGCGCTTATACGAAAACCTCCTTGATCATTTTGATTTCATAAATTATAAAATCATATAAATTAATTTATTTAATTATTATTTTAATTTTATAAATTATAAAAGTATATAAATTAATTTTTTAAATTAATATTAAAAAGTATTATTTTACTCTTTAAATTATAAAAGTTTACAAATTAGACCTCCTAACATAATTAATTAAAGGGTAAAGCAAGTATTTAAATTGTGTGCGTTTATAATTAAAGGGTAAAGTTGGTTAGAGATTTTTGTGCGCGTTTGTAATTTATAGGGTAAAGTAAGTATTTTTTAATAGTTTAGGAGGTTAATTTGTATGTTTTTAAAATTTAGGGGGTTAAAGTAATATTTCTTAACAATTTATGGAGTCTTTATGTAAATAATTCAAATAAAAAATATTTTATTAATAAAATGCATAATTTTTATAAAAAAAAATTATTATGTATTTTATAAATATTGTTAATAAAAAGTACAAAAAATAATAATTAATATTAAAAATATTATAATAATGATCATTTTATATTTTTTTTTCCGGTCTCCCACGGTATCCTTAGGTTTTTTGGACTCAGGACTAATCTGTTAAGGAAGCTGCCAGGCGCAAATACGAGGTCCTCTCCCAAAAGGATTTATTGCATCCACAAAGGTTCGAACTCGAGACCTTTACTTAAGCGACCCAAATCACTTTCTACTTGAACCAACCTCCATTAGTAATGATCGTTTTATATCATATTTTGTTTTTAATGAAGATTGTTATCGCTACATTTATAAGTTTAATGGATCCATCACTTATTTATATGATAAATCAAATATGATATAAAAATGATAAATCAAATATGATATAAAAATATGTTTATTAAACAAATAAGATAAAGGCCTATTTTGGTAGTTAAAAAGTCAATTTTTTTTGTTTTTTTTTTATTATACCACCTCTCTATTTTTTTACATAAATTTTAAATAAAAAAAATTAAAAAAGTCAAAAAAAAATCAACTTTTAACTTACTTTTCAAAAAAAGCCAAAATAAAATTAGAGACATCTCTTTTTTTATAATTTTTTTTTTACAATTTATGTATTTTAAAAAATTGACTATTATAATTAAATTCACAAAGGGAATGTTTGTTTTATTGGCTCATTGAGGGGATTGGATTGCTAGTGAGGCCACCTGACACATGGCTAGTTGGTAAACCTTATACTCTATTGGACTATTAGTCTAATGAGATTGTTAATGATATATGACAGTGAGCTTAGTTTTTCCTGGAAAAGCATGGGATTGAAAAAATAGTGAACGGATTGAAAAAATAAGTGTATTTTTTTCTTATACCCAAGTGTAATCTATTATTTGTAATTTTTTTTAGAATTTTTTTAATATAGAAATATATATTTTATTTAATATAAAAATAAATTAACAATCTCATTATTATATTATCTCTCCCACTATCATCAAAACAAACACACTTGGTGGAATCGATAGATTAAAGAATATTTTTTAATTTATCAATCTTATCAAAATCGCCAAAATCAGGATTTATCAATTCGTTAATCTGCCATTCGATTTATAATTTTATTCTTAAACTGTTCAAATCGCACCGCACACACCCCTAGTTGTGTTTGTAAAGTCTTTGAACTTGAAATGGGGTAAATTTATAAATAAAATTTGTATATAAAATTTATCATGGGAAAGATTTGGTATATATATTCTTGAAAATAAAATAATTTTGATAAATTTTTAATTTTAGAATAAAATAATGTAAAATCATCACATCAACCTAATACAAAAAAAAATTTATGTGTTTTAGCTATATTCTATTCAATTTACAAACTTTCTTTTTTCTTTTGTAAACTGACCAATAGTTTCCAAACAATTTTTTGTTTTAAACAAACCAATAGTTTTCTAACACGTACTCCATTTTCACGGTGCTTATCTGTTCACACCTTTTTCTCTAATAATCTGAATGAGTAGTACCAAAAAAGAAAAAAACTTAAACAGACAATAATAAATATGGGCCCAATATAATGAGTAACGCTACTACACATTTCATAATTTGCAGGCTCACTTCTATCCATTGTTCTTGCATATTTCTATGCATCTAATTTTAATTTGGTAATAAAATGAAGAATAAAATGAAAGCATGTCCAATTAAACTATTAGTAAGCCTAATCAATTAAACTAAGTATTAAAGATTACCTAAGACCTGTATCAATAAATATGTGGCCTAAATGAAGCATGTTCTCTTCAATTAATTTAATTGTATAAAATATTTAAATTTATTGCAGGTAGAAAGTGATGAACAACCTCTTTTTATTACAACAATGATTCATCCCACTAAAAGTATCACCACTAATAGCACTAATGCATTAAAAAAGTAAAAAAAAAAAAAACACAACTCTAAGACCAAAACATCACATCATTAATGGCGGGACTCACTGCCACCTAATTAGTAGGCGCACTAATTAGTGCTCTCAAGCATTTTTCTTTTTATTATTATTATTTATTATTAAAGTTGACCAATTTGAGCCTTCTTTCCACTTTAGTTTTATGATACTATATTCTCAAATTTTAATGAGTATTATTTTTAATCTTCCTAACAACAGTGCTCCATTAAATAAAAAAATAAAAGAAAAGAAAAGAAAATAGACATTTTCAGTAATTTCAAATTATTTTGAGTCTTGTTGGCGGGAGTAGAGACTTAAAACGATTGTATTACACTTTGTGCAAAAAAATGAGCATAATTTTTGAGTTTTGAATTCAACGTTCGGATAAAATTCCAGTAGATTATTGAGTGACTCAAATTTGAGATCATGAATCTAATCCTCGAGTTTTTATCACTTAACTAACCCTTTGTGTTTAAAAATACACATTAGCAAGACTCAAAATATTTTGTACTCCAAACTATATAAAAACAATATCTAAGAAATTGATGAGTGTCTTTTTATGTTATATTTTTTAAATTAATAGAATAATTTATCATAGGTTTTAAAAATTACATCATATCCTTTTAAGTTTCTAATTACATAACAATTGACTCATTTTATTAATAAATTATAAAGTCAATTAACGGTATTTAATAATAACAAAATTAAATTATAATTAACAATTCATGTAATTTTATTATTGTACAAAAAATAGTTAAAAATTTTATTTTTTTATATTAATTCTATTAAATAAAAAATTCTAACAAATGAATATTTGTAATTTTTAAAATTATAAAAAAAAGTCACATTTTAAATCAATCTCAAAAGGGTGTATTTATACTTCACCCCAGGAATTTAAAATCCACACCAACCTTGTCTGTCAAATAAGGTGAGAGACAGGACCAACTCCATATTGGTTAAGTAATGAACCATTTTTGGATGAGAACACAACTAATTTTGACAGTTTAGATGGGTTGGACACTTTTGAGTTGTATTCCGATCACATTCATCAATTTATATAAGGTATATTGTCTCTCTGTTCACCCCAACCCACTGACTATGAGTCTACTTCTACCTTGATGCATTTTTTTTCACCATTTATTTGATGAAATGCTCAATTTCATCATATTATGCTTAAAAAACAAATTTTGGAGACAGGTTTTGTGTAGGATGTGGATTACTTTTTTGACTTTTTGATTTTTTGGTTATTTTAGCCCAAGGCTAAAAATCTCGTTTGGGATGGATTTTTTTGACTTCTTGACTTTTTTAAGAGAAAAAATGAAATGATTATAATTTAGATATGATAACTTTTAGCCTGAGGATAAAAAACATATTTTATATTTTTGTGACTATTTTTATCCTAACTCACCCTAACCCAACTTCCCAAATGACTACTATACAGTAGTGAGACAGCGACAGTGACAGTGCAGGTAGACTGTAGGAAACCCCACAATAACAATAAAGATTGTTTTGAAAAGATGGTTAAAAGTTGATTTTTTTAATTTTCTGTATTTTTTTTAAAAAAAATGTATAAAAAATATAAAAGATAATGTGATTAAAAATAGATTAAAAATTGAAAGATAATTTTTAATCATATTTCCAAAATAACCCTAATATTAAAGTTAAAATTGACACTTCTCTCTATCCTTCAATTTACTTCGACTTTTCTTTTGGCAGTATTGATCCTTACAAAACAACGACTAGCTGTTAGGACTTGCAAACAAAAAACAACTCCATAATCCC